CTCTCTGCTGTGTTGTATTTCCCGCAGATATCTGGTGAGTTGAAGTCTCCCCCAAGAACAAGGGCTAGAGACTGTGAGACTTCAGCCAACTGCTTGTAGAATACTTATGTTTCCTCATCCTGGTTGGGTGGTCTATAACAGACTCCCACCAGGATATCTGCCTTATTAGCCTTCCCTCTGATCGTTACCCATAAGCGCTTAACCTTATCATTACTCTCATTGAGTTCTAGACAGTCAAAACACTCTCTAACGTACAAGGCTACCCCACCACCTCTCCTTCCTTGCCTGTCCCTTCTAAAGAGCTTGTAGCCACCCATTGCAGCACTCCTGTTGTGTGAGTCATCCCACCATGTTTCCGTGATGGCGACCACATCATAGTTTTCATGCTGCACAATGGCTTCCAGCTCCTCCTGTTTATTGCCCATGTTGCGTGCATTGGTGTAAATGCACTTCCATTGGGCTATAGATCTCTTCTCCAACACAGGCATGCCACCCCTAGGCTCATCCCTAGCAAGCCTGGTTTTATCCCCTTCCCCCTTCTCATCTAGTTTAAAGCTCTCTCAATGAGGCCTGCTAACTCCTGAGCCAGAATCCTTTTCCCCCTTTGCGACAGGTGAACCCCATCTGTCTCCAGCAGGCCTGTTGCCATGTAAACTGCCCCATGATTGAAAAACCCAAAATTCCATCTCTGGCACCAGCTTCTGAGCCACGCGTTCATGAGATGGGTCTTCTTGTTCCTTTCCGTATGCCTCCCACCTACTGACGGGATGGAGGAAAACACTACACATTTACTACATATAAGTAAGGACATGGTTATTATATAGGTTTATTTTCTACTTTGTCATACAGACTTGAAATATACCACATATTGTCACTTTTTAGTGTCTAAATAATGGCTTATAGTGTACCATTAGTATGCAGAATTCCTTGTTGATTTTAGTTGAATTGTCCTTGTAAATTAATGGTATAATTTAACACACTGTCTGAAATAATTTTATAGCAGTAAGTCCTGTGGCTGTAAGGTAAATTATAAATTAGTAGCAGTGGAGTGAAAAAAAGAAAGGATGGCTTATTCCAGAGTTGCCAATGTTAATACTAATACTAATCTCAAATCATGGTTTTGTTTTTTTTTTTCTGTTGACAAAATAAGGAAACACACTGAATCATAGCTGAGTGTTTGGAAACTTGACTTATGACAAGCAGAACATGGAAGCGGTGCTTTCAAATAAAATCTGATACAAGCTCGAGGATTTTTTAAGATAAAATACACTAAGAGGAAATAGTGTTTAGGTTTTGGATCTATATCATCTATGGATTTTCATAGATTTACAAATATTCCAGCAGATGAATGGATTCTCTAACCTATTAACAGTGTATTCCTAGAGGTCTTAAGCACTGCGAACCCCACCTGTTTGACATGCTCAGCATATCTATTAGTCATAAACTCTATAGGGCCTGAATATAAAGCATATCCAAACTTTCCTAGCAGAAATACATTGGAAAAATTTAAGTTCTCTTTTTAAGGTCATATTGCAAATAGTTCAAGGTGTATCTAATTGTTAAGTACCTTCATGCTCTGTGGCTCAACCTGTAGACTTGACCGATAGAAACCATTTTCTGCTCTCCATGTTATTTTCACATGTACCAAGCTTTGCTTGCTGATGTCCACACTATGATTCTTGAAAGTGTAAGAAAGACCCCTTGTAAATATGCAGGGTAATTCCTAAGAACTGAACAGTGGTGTTTCGTAGCTCAACTTTTCTTCCTATAATGACCCCAACAGCAGAAGTTATTTTAGCTCACAATTACATGAGGCTTTATCAGCACAACCCATACCTCAATTTGTATGTGTTTTTTATCTGTATAACTGTGAATGACAGACACCTATCTCCTGTGAAGCTGTTCAGAGAAATGCCAGGAGGCAGTATGAAGGGCATTAGACATAAATGGTGTGGAGGAAGCATCCAGCCTCCACAGGTACCTTAACTTTACAAACATAATATGCTTACAAGTGCTTAAACTTCTCTCCGCTATTATGAACAGAAACTCCAAGAATTATGAGCTGTGGGGTTTTTTGCAAGTTTCTGTTATCAAGACTCTCTCCAGGTTATTCTGTTTCTGTTCTTTTCATACCAACAGAAGCTTCAAGAATGCCACACTGTTCTTTTGTATTTTTGCAGTAATATGACTAGTTATAGTCTGTCTTTTTCCTATGCTATGCAGTTCTTGGACAGTCAGGCTTCTGTGGAGAGTGACAAGCTTTACAGTTTTCAAAGTACATGCTCTGGTGAAAACAGAAAGTGCATTCAGCACTTTTGTGCATGTGTTTTTGAGAATTAATTCCCCAATTTCTTCTCAAAGGAACATAATTTTGAACTTTTGGAATTTCTGGGATGCCACCTTTTGTCATATGCAAGATTAGAAGTTCAGAGGTTGCAGGTGAAAATATAGCAGTGCAGCAATTCATCTCATCTTGGTAATTTTATTTTAATACATTTTTAATTATTTACAAAAGGTGTGCATCTAGTAATAGAAATTGAGTGGCCAGACAGTACTATCAGGTAAGGAGACAGGGAAAGAAATATAAAAGATTGACATGGGCTCTTTAGTTTGCGTCAGAACTTTTGTTCAGTTATTTTTATCGTTTTGTTGTTGTTTTTTCTCCTAGATTGTGTAAATCAGCAAGAACATGAATATTTAGCACGGTATGAATAGAAAAGAGATTGCATGCCACACCAGTAGCATAGTTTTTCAGTCTAGCCAAGAGCACAGATTGAGCCTTTTCACTACCCAATACATATGTAAGTGGAGAGACTTTGTTTGCTACAAAGGTGAAACAGTTATAATTATGCTAACGTCTGTTTTTAAATGACTGATTAGAACTACTGATTCATGTTAAAGGAAAAAAAAAAAGTTGTAAGCACTACTTCTCTGGAGTGAGTGAAGATCAAGGAGATGCTAAAACTTGCTTTCGTGATAGCTGTAGAACATTCTTTCAACCAGTGCATTACAATCACAGAGGAGGAGGAAGAAGGAGAATCAAATGATTTTAACTTTATTACTGAGTGATTCAGTGATTCATCCCTATGGAAACTGTGAATGCTTAATGGTACCTTTGCCAGATAATATTAGCTGTTGTGCTCTAAGCAGCTTTGGTAGAAGGTGTACTAGTAGGGACAGTACCGATCTCTGGTGGCTTTTAGCATTAACTGTTGTTTCACACTGAAACACTTCTGCTATGTAATTCACAGGCAAAGAAGGATATTTTTATAGGTTTTTTTTTTTAGCCTGTAACTAATGAATAATGGACCTTTGTAGCCTGAAACAATCTACTACAGTAAATATCTTCAATCTCATATTACAGCTCTTAAGAGCAATGCAATCTAGTGGAAAAATTCCTGACGTGGTAGAGATGTATAGTACTTACCTTTTTTTCCTCACAGTTAGGTGAACAACTTGGAAATAAGATGGGGGATATAAGGGAAGCAAACCAATCCATAAAACAGTTAAATATGTTTTGCTGTAAGTCAAAACCAATCAAATTCTTTCTGAACTTTACTTTCTAATTTCTAAGAATTCCCTTTCACTTCTCATTATATCGTCTCCTGAAAACCATGATAAGCTTTGCTTGTGGAATTTATTGGACTGTAACAGCATTTGCTGTGGATCCAATGTGGTGGGATTGTTCACTGTTGAATAGGTCATATGTTATGTTTCCAAAGACATCTGATAAGACGGTTGTAAGCAGGTTGCTTGGGTTTTATAGAATCGTAGAATCAGAATCGTTAAGGTTGGAAAAGACCCTTTAAGATCATCGAGTCCAGCCATTAACCTAGCACTGCCAAGTCCACCACTAAACCCTGTCCTCAAGCACCACGTCTACCCTTCTTTTAAATACCTCCAGGGATGGAGACTCAACCACTTCCCTGGGCAGCCTCTTCCAATGCTTGACCACCCTCTCGGTGAAGAAGTTTTTTCTAATATCCAACCTAAACTTCTGCTGGCACAACTTGTGGCCATTTTCTCTCGTCCTATCGCTTGTTACTAGGGAGAAGAGACCGACCCCACCACACTACAACCTCCTTTCAGGTAGTTGTAGAGCACAATAAGGTCTCCCCTCAGCCTCCTCTTCTCCAGACTAAACAACCCCAGTTCCCTCAGCTGCTCCTTGTAAGACTTGTTCTCTAGACCCTTCACCAACTTCGTTGCCCTTCTTTGGACATGCTCCAGCACCTCAATGTCCTTCTTGTAGTGAAGGGCCCAAAACTGAACACAGTACTCAAGGTGCGGCCTCACCAGTGCTGAGTACAGGGGCACTATCACCTCCCTGGTCCTGCTGGCCACACTATTCCTGATACAAGCGAAGATGCCATTGGCCTTCTTGGCCACCTGGTCACACTGCTGGCTCATGTTCAGGCAGCTGTCAACCAACACCCCCAGATTTTGCTGTTAGTCAAGGCATTATAGTGTCCTGGAACCACCTGTACATGGACTCTCTTCTTGCCCCTTAGAAAACAGATCTAGGGGGAAAATATGAACACTTTTGAAGGGCATGGTGTTTAGATTTCAGAGCTCTGACAAACTGTCCCAGAAAGTAGGGATGAAGAATGAGGTATTTGTAGGCTTCTGGTTTTCATCTTTAGCCTTTTGCTACCAAAGCTTCAGGCTTCTTTCTGCTCTGCAACCTGATGCAGTATGTGATCAGCTGAGTAAGCAGCTTTAAAGTATCTTGGTAATGGTGGACGTACCCTCTCTTGTGGCTGGAATCAAGTAATGATACAAACTTGAAAGTATATATTTCTTCTGGATATTGTCAAAATGCAGCTATTCTTGTCTGGGTGGCTCCCCAACATGTTGGGAATACATTTCCAAATTGATGAAGCAAGTCGTCTTGGGAGGAGTCATGCTGGCAGTCTGTGAGGAATGTTTATTGTTGGATTTGGCTGATAGATACTTCAAATAATAATCCTCTGTTTTATTTATTTGGTCAGAAAGCATTTCTAAAGCAATATCACTATTGAATAGTGACAGCTGCAACCAAGGGAGTAGGATAGCATTGTAACTTAAGCAGGCTTATCAACATTTGCCTGACCAATTGTGTGTTATCCGATGTTTGGTGAGATGACAAAGAAGGGCCTTTTGGTGGTACACATCATGAATACAACTCTTCTCTAGGAGGAACCAGAATTAAGTTCACAGACCAAATTAGCTGTTGGAGTGATTATGTGGAAAAGGTGCCATTGCACTGTCCTGCCAATATGTCTAATTGGAGGCACTGTGGCAGGGTAGTTGCTGAGTGAACCTCTCACATAATACGAAGTGTTTGGTGGGTCTACAGTTAGTGTGATCATTAAAGGAAAATGTTAAGATTTGTCCTTTCTTTGAAACTTGGGTTTGGTTGTTTTGTATTTGGTTTTTTTGTTGTTTGGTGTTTTTTTTTTTTAATGAAATAATGTTGTTACTGTGTTTTCTAACTGAGTTTCCTTCTCTTTTTGTTTCCTTTTTAGTTATGTTTCGTTTATATGATACAGATGGAAATGGATACCTGGATAGCTCGGTAATGTTTTTTATGTATTTTAATGCATTGTAAGAGTATGTCATAATGGCGTACCTATACAAAACTACATTAATCCAAATCAAGTTTGTATTTATCCTGAATTAATAGAAGCAGTATAAATTATAGTTGATAAAAAGTCACCCATTTTGGAAGTAACTCTTGAGTTTTCTTTTCCATTAAGCTGCTACTTCTACAACTGTATAAATTTTCGAATGCTGACACTGCTATCGTTGAGTCCTATTCTATAGTCTTCTGAGTTTTAACCATATTACTGTAGGGGGCACATTAATATGATTCTTAAAATTCTAGTGTGCCACTTGGAGATGTGTATGAAAGCACCATTTGTAAAGATTTCGTTAAAAGGGGAAAGTGTAAGAGTCACACAGTGGATGTTTGTGGAGAAATGTCAGAACTTCCATGTTGTTATAAAGAACAGAGGAACTATATTAAAGTTTTGAGGAGTAGCTCAACCAAATATTTGAAGGAAAATCAGAGATATAGCAATCATTTTAAAAATGTAACTATATCATAGCTACTATATAGCTACTAATATAGCTATATTTCTGTTAGGTAACATAAAATCATTTTATTGGCAGCTTTTTTCCCCCCCTTTTCCCCCCCTTTTCCCCCCCT